TTCAATGTTGGTAGTGTAATTGACACGCTCGTCAGCTTGTTCTTTTTCGTATAAAGGCGGTAAATTTGAAAACCGATTAGTGACAACATGGTGCCTCCAACCATGATGGTTAAGAGAGAGGATGAGTGATTTTTAATGTTTCCCCAGAAGAAGATTTCTGGTAGTTTTATTGTGTTCGAGATAAAATAGATTATGGCTTGAATGTTGGATGGGATGTATGGTAACTTTACCCATTTGGTATTATTTCCGATTAGATCATGTAAATTAATCAATTATTCCTCGACAGGGTTGTGTGTTGCATTCTGAAGCAGAGTGATTGTAGGCCCTGTTTTAGTTTGAGCTCCTGGTAAGAAAAATCGGTCACATGTTAATGACGTAGTGTCCAGTGTCGTGATCAACGCTGTCGGCGGTAGCGTGATTTCATGGTTGTCTATCATTCTATGGTGATCAGAGTCCGAGATTTTTATTGCGTGACATTTTGTGGTGAAGTTGGTAGAAATTGCCCAATATTTTCCGACTCGGTGGATGAATACTGGGTCTGCATACGGTTCGATTCGATATGCGGTTAACATCGAGTCAGTTAGGATTTGGTAAATACAGTTATCTGGAAGATCTGTTCGACTAGCGGGGGTTTCACGACATGTTGACATCACTTCAAAAGTGCAGTCTGTCGCTTCTTCTTTCGACTAACGAATAAATTTTAGTGAGGTTGATTCAATTCCTATGTACGTTGGTATTTGAGCCAGCCTCACTCTTTTGTTTTCGTGGTTAAATGGAATGGGCACCAGTTCGTAAACATAGAAAGGTTTCTGTTCTGGTGAAGTAGCGGCAAAAAATGATGTAAACATTAGGTTTCCGATGGTGACATCATAAGGAGACGCTCGTAGATCAGTAGATGGAACGAAGTGGATCTGCTGTTGAACTAGTAGTTTCGTCAAAACATCTACCATGGACATTGAGCTATTGTTTTCGTCGATGGAGATATTGGTAGCTCGTATTATCAGGTCTATGACTTTAGGCATGTCTCGATGGTGAATAAAGTTCAGATTGAGTTTGTTCATTAGAATGTCCTGCACAGAAGTGTGTAGAAAGTGGCTGCCTACGGCATGCATAAATGGTTTTCCATGCCGCACGAGTTTCGTATCCAGAAGAAGAGAGATTGTGTTGATTTTTCTCAAGGCTTCTTCGTGATTTTGTAGCATATCCGCTTGCTCATTAACTAATTGCATTGTTCGATTTAGAGCTTGTTGTGTGTTGTTGAGTTCGCACGAGTTTCAGTTGGCCGTCAGTAAGTTGGAGAATTTGAGCTCTACGTGCCTTCTCCGTTCTTTGAAATGTTTCAGCGATTCCGTTATGATGTTCATTTCACTCTTTAGGCTCGCTATTTGCACTGTGTTAACAGTAGACATCGCGAGTGCTGCTGTCCCGATGCCGATAGAAACAATATCAGTCAAAAATCTCTTGGTTCGTTGTAATACTCCTGGTTTCCTTGTGGTTTTCACATTGCGTTCAATAAAATTTACAGCGCTCGTGGATAAGTTGCGTCGTGGAATTTTCTTTAGTGCCATGATCAGAATTAAGTAGCACATGTCCGCTACCATAGGGATCGCTACTGAAAAAGTAACAATTTTACTTGCTGGTTGATAGTCGGACATATAATGTAGGATCAGTCCCGATATTGCGTGAATAATATCTGTTTTCAGTATCGTAAAATTGTTTGCATTAGAGACTCTTTGAATGGTTGTTATAAATATTGTGATGAATAAAATCTTCTTGCTGGCCATACGGTTTTTTAGTATTATTGTATTGTTCTTCGTGTATGGGTTCGTATGCTTGGTGATTCTGATTGTTGCTCTACTTCCATTCTCTGTATTACGGTTCTACTTATATACCAAACCACTGCGGCTGATGTTCCTTCCGTAATTTATTTTTCTCTCTGATCTTGCACTTTTTTTATTAATTTTTTCCCATGATCCCTGAGTTTCTTCCCGTGATATCTTGCGTAACATTCTTCTGCATTTTTTGGTGGTTATCATTGGAGTGATTTACGTAATGTTCATCCTTCATTTTGGAAATTAATCTTCTTTTCATCATTTCTTCTAAGCGTGTTTCTTATGTAATTTATCTCACATTATCTATTTCATTACATTTAAGGTGTGTGCATGGACGTAAATTACGTCGTGATGTTTGCTGTTCTTCCATACACACGTTGTTTAACATTGTAAGGGTTAGTCGCGATATCGAGCTGGTAGTTGATGCTGTCTGCTCGATACTCTCTGTTGATTTATTCGATCTGTTGGTGTCGGATTGGATGATGCAGGGTTTTGACTTGCTTCGTCGTGTTCGTCACTTGAGGGAGCCTCCAAATCGTCGTCATTCATTCTCGAAGGCTCATAATTGGAGATCGGTTCGAAGTATTTTTTTATTCGATCGACATTGATGGCCCCTAAATTTACTCCATTGTCAATCCGTCGAACGGCAAATGTTGAGGGTTCGAGTTGCTCTATTAGTCGACATGGACCTTGAAACTTTGGTTGAAATTTTCTGTTAATCGTTATATACCCAATTTGAGGCGCTGTGGTTGCAACCCAAACTAGATCTCCGACTTTAAATTCGCGTTGAGAAGTGCGTCGATCATATTTCATTTTCTGACTAATTTTCTCTATTTCTGAGTGGTCGCGCACAATATTATACGTGCATCGTAGATTGTGAATCAAATTCTCCTTGTATTCACTTATTTGCATAGCTTCCAAAGACGTGAATGGCGGATCTTGAATAGACTCGTCAACTAATAAATCTAGTAATAATTTTGGATCTCATCCAAATATCATAAATGCTGGCGTTTCGCCAGTTGTTTCATTTACAGAAGTTCGAAGAGCAAAGGCTAACTTTTGCACTTCTTTGTCCCATGAATGAGGATGATTTTGTGCGAAAATTGCCAACATTGGTTTCAACGTTCGATTGACTCTCTCCGTCATATTACTTTGTGGATCGTAGTTGGCCGTGAACTTTTGTTTAATTCCAATTAACTCGCAGAAACTTCGAAAAATATTGGATACAAATTGTGGACCATTGTCTGATAAAATATATGCTGGAAAGCCAAACCGCGAAAAGACTTCATTTATAAGTATTTGTGCAACATCGATTGAGGTTGTGGTGCGTAATGGAAATAGTTCTACCCACCGGGTAAAGTAATCGACTATGACTAGTAGAAATCGTTTTTGTCGTGATGTGTTAGGAAACGGTCTCATTATGTCGATACCAATAGTGTGCCACGGCCCATTCACAATGTGTGATTGCGTTGGATTTGCCATCGGTGCCGTATTGTATTTAAATTGTTGGCAAGCTTCGCAAGAGGCAACATAGTTATACACATCTGTGCGTATTGAGTCCCAAAACACTCGGGTTGTAAGCCGAAATAGTGTTTTTTATTGACCTGAGTGACCAGCAGTTAGATGATCATGAGCCCAGGATAATAATTTTTGTCGCATCAATCTCGGAATTACGAGAAGGTGCTTATTACCCATTTCTCGTTGATTATAATGCCTATTGGAATATTTTACTTTGTATAATATTTCATTGATTAATACATAAGTATTGCGTTTGTCGTTAGAAATCGGAGTGATGTTGTTTTGTAATTTATCAATGATAGTTTTTAGTTTAAGATCAGTCGATTGTTGTTCCTTGATTCATCAAGAATATTTGTGTTTTCCCACAGATTAATTGCGGTTTCTATCGCTAGCAATTGCGGGTCGTGCCTTTTTGCATCCTCTACAGGATTTCGTGGTAGTGAGTCAGCGTTAGCATTTTGTTTTCCGGGGCGGTAGCTGATACCTTCAATCTTGTACGCAGAGAGTTTCATTGCCCACCGTACTAATCGGTCGGTGACATCTTTAGCGTTTCTCATCCATTCTAGAGCTTTACAGTCTGACCGAATAAGCACTTTGCTCCCTTCAATATACACCCGAAAATGCTTTGTGGCCCACACGATTGCGAGAGCTTCGCGTTCTGTAGCATCATACTTTCTTTCCGCTAGTGTTCGACTAGCATAAACAATAACATATTTTTTGGTATCATATTCTTGAGTAAGTACCGCGCCGAAACCATATTCACATGCATCAAGTTCAAGTATGAACGGTTTTTCGAAATTAGGTGTATTCATTATTGGGGCTGTTGTTAGCTTTTCTTTTAATATTTCAAAGTCTTCCGTACATTCAGGTGATCATTGAAGGTGATGATTTCTATTTGTTGAATAACATAACTGTTTGATGAGGGGTTCGGCTATTTTTGAGTAATTTTTGATGAATCGACGATAATAACCTGTAAGACCGAGGAATGATTGTACATCTTTGATTTTCTTCGGTCGTGGGAAATCAACCACAGTCTTGACCAAATGTGTATCAGGTTTAATTCCGTCTCGAGTGACGCTGTGTCCGAGATATTTTGTCTCTCGTCTACAAAAATGCACTTCGACGTTTTCAGTGTAAGATTGGCTGTGCGTAAAGCTTCAGACACACTTGTAAGGTCTTTGAGATGTTGATCAAGGGTTGAAGTATGGATAATTACATCATCAATATAGACAAGACAGCATTGCCATTTCAGACCAGCTAGAACTCTATCCATGAATCTTTGGAACGTTGCTGGAGCATTCGTTAATCCGTATGGCATAACTTGAAATACATATAGCCCTTTATGCGTAATGAATGCTGTCTTTTCGCGTGATCTCTCATCTATCTCGACTTGCGAATAGCCTGTTCGTAAATCTAGAGTTGAAATAAATTTTGCTTCTTGTAACGAATCAAGCGTGTCATCAATTCTTGGTATTGGGTAAGCATCGCGGATAGTCATCGAATTCAATCTTCGGTAGTCAACACAGAAACGTAGAGTTCCATCTTTCTTTGGCGCAAGGACTACTGGAGAGGCCGATGGGCTACATGAAGGCACTATAACTCCTTGTTCGCACATTTCCCTGACATTTTCTTCGATAATTTGGCATCGAGCAGGGGCGTATCGATATGGTAGTAAATTACACGGTTGAGAGCCCGGTAATAGTTTTATTTCGTGTTTTACTTTTCCTGTTCGACCCGTCTTGTCACCGAAGACATCAGGAAAAGCTTGAATTACTTGTCTTAACCGTTGCTTTTGAGTGTCATCTAAGCCTGTTTCAGATAAGTCTGGCTCATTTGTCTTACAGGCTTATCAATTATCATCTCTTATAGTTTTTCAACAAGTATTTGGAATTTGTGTATAAATGATACAAAGCGCATGTGCATAAACTTTACAGGCGTTTTATAGAAACGATGATGTTGAATAGATGACAATGAAGATGTGCCCATATGTCAATACATTGATAAAGATCATCTGTTCGCGGTGTTTATCAATAATGTCGATATCCACATGTTCTGAATTTGTT